CCGGCGCGGGGGGAGCAGGCCGAGGGCGGGAGGGCACCGCGGGACGCCCGCTCCTGCGCAGCGGTTGGCATCCCCTCGCCTTGGCCAGCGGCTGGGCTCTGCGCGGCAGAAAGCACGGCACTGCCTGCGCCAGCCCTCCGCTGCTCCTGGGCGCCTTTCGAGGTGGGAGAGGGTGACGTTCGCCACACACAACCCCTGAGCTCAGTAAATGCCTTGGCTTGCCCTTCAGATTCTGTCACCAGATTGCCGCGCCTGGATCCCTCCTGTCTGGCTCTAATTAATAGCGTGATAATTTGTCTCCGGTTGAGTTGGAATTTAACGCTGGATGGATCCTTGCCCCCAGTGAAAGGCTGTGCTTCATACTGACGGTGACAGAACGGAATATTACTTATATAAGTGCGATGATCTTACCCTGCCTGGAGCTCCGGGTTTTCTCAGTGTATGACAAATGTGAGGCATTTAAAAAATTTAGACACTATATTTTACATTATTTTCTCGAACGTGGATCTCTGTGGGCTGCCTAGAAATCCATTAGCAAGAAATGTAAAGATGCTTAAAGGGATTTACCCGGATTAGCTGCCTTTATATATTCAAGGATCTTTTATGTGATTACCTTAAAAGCTTAAAGAGCTGCTGCAAAACATTTACAGCACAGAGATCCCGAAGCACAGAGTACACATCTGACAGAAAAATTAAGCCGTTAAAAACAAACGTATAGCTCTGGCTGCTTGTATTTTCAGCCAAACAGCATCGAAGGCAAAAGGAATTAGCACACAGAGTACTTCCCTCTTGCAGCCCACGATCCAGGGCTGCGCAGCTTTGATCCTGAGATTTACGGGGAAGCGTTACATTAACTTTTATTTTCGCCGTGGTCTCTGGCAGTTAGCGGCGAGGAGCTGGCGCAGGGCAGGGCCGGGAAGGCAGCGGCTGCCACGGAACGTCCCAGGACCGGCCGGGCGCGGGCAGAACCGCTGCGGGTCGTCCGACGGCACCAACTCTCCCCTTTCCTCTCCGGGACGTTCGCTTCGTGCCGGATACACTTGTGCTGCTGCTGCCTGCTCTGACTCCGGCCTCACCGCAGCAAATCGTGTCCTGGAGCATGTTTTTGAAATCGCACAAATCCCTTCTTTTCCGTTGTCAGAAAATCCCTTCAAGTGTGGAAGAAGAAGAAGAGGTGCAAAAGCTTCCGTGAGGTTTCTGCCTGCTCCTTCTCTCTTCAAGGGCAGCTCTCACAGCCGCAGACCGCGGCCCGCATCCTCCCGGCTCCTTTGTCCTTTACCATAAAGTCATTTGTCAGCAAAAGAAACAAAGTTTTGTTTTTCAGTCCAGATCTGGCTGTCCTCCCACTGAGACTTTCAACTCTGTATCTCAGGAATTGATGGTCTCGGATTCCGATCCTCTTTCCTTGGTGTTTGTATTGATTTTTTTTTTTTTCCAGGAGGGTTATTTTCACCGTGGTTTCAAAACTATCTTTCTGTCTCCACTTACGGCAGGTAATAGCTCAGCGCGGAGAATTACACGTTTCCTGGGCCGCGCTGGCCCCAGCTCTCCGCTGAGGTCCCTGGCACTCCGGGTAACCAGGGCTCTTTTCCCACCCTTGTCCCTCCAGGCTCATCGGCGGTCGGGTGGGGGAAGCTGGATGTGAGCGACGGAGGGGACCAGACATCCCGGGTCTATTCCTCTTCCCTCGCTCACGGACACGGGCCCCTCGCTGTGCCGCCGGTGCCCGGGGGGGGGGCAGCTGGTGTGTTGTGGTGTCCCGGGACACGTCCCTCCGCCCGGGTTCTGAGCTGGGGGGGCCCAGCCGCGCCGCGGGCCGTCCGCGGGCTCCGAGGCCCGTCCCTGGTCACCAGCCGTGCCGGGGGAGGAATAAATCCAGCAGCCTCAGTTTAAAAGGCTGCTGCTTCCTTCACCCCAGCGATGGCTTTTAGTCATCCAGTCTTGCCAAGGAAAAATTCATGAGATCATTTCCCCAAAACAACACGATACTTCAAAATCGTAATTAAAATACCTCTGGCTGTTCTCGTATTAAGCTTTTATAAGCGCTCAAAATAATATTTCAGATAAATGGAGAAGCTTTGTACTCCATTAGCATGACGTACCCTTCTTCTAGTGAACCGTATCTCTAACATCGCATCCTCCATACATACGTTGAAAATTCTCTTCCCTGTCTGGTTCTTCAGTGACTTGGATGTGTGTCCCCCCCCCCGTGGGTCTTGGGGGTGAATGGAGCCATCCCGGGGGTCTGCGTCGATTTGCTTCATGACATTAATACCCTCCAACGTACCGGCAGCGAGATCCCGCACATGAATACTAAACGGGAGCCTGTTGTGCCCCAGAGGCTGGCGAGCGAGATCCCATATATTACACCATGTGAGTTGTGTGTCATATTAGAGCAATCTAGTTTTAAAGGGCATCTTTCAAGCACAAACTAGCTTTTTCCCACACTTGACTGATCACACAAATAACTGTGATTAAAGGTCAAGTGCCTGGGTTTTTCTATTTTACTCCTTAAAAATTTATATGCGAAAGAAAACCCAGAAGTTAACATAGCATGAAATTGTTATGCAGTTATGGGCCTTTAACAACAACTAAATATCACTTTTCTTCCTGGGTGGCTTGAAAAATCTCCGGTAATAATGGGTCACTTCTGGTTTCCACTTGAGGAAGATTATAAATAAACCCTGTCCTTTGCTTCCCCTCCCTGTAATGTGATGGAGGGAGAGTTTTAATCGTGTGAACTTGCGACCCCAGTCCCCAAGGGCTGTACCCGGGGCTCGCCCGGAGCCGCGGCCGGGCTCAAAGCACCGGGGGCTGCGGCAGCACCGCAGCAAAGCACCGGCCCCGGCTGGGCCGTCCCGGACGGAAAGAGCCTCGATAGATGGACGGGGATGTTCTCACCAGCCAAGTGAACACAGAGAAGAGGTACCGGCCGTGTGGGGCTGAGAAATGGAGGGAGAGCTGGAAACACCCTCGCTTGGGGCGCCCGGCGGGGCCGTCTGCGTCCCCTCACGGGTCCCCCCCGGGTTGCCGGGCGCAGTTTCTGGGGCCGAGCTGGAACACGGCGGGGCCGGTGCTTCGGGGTGGGCGGAGAGCGCTGGAAGACAAGTAGAAATATTAGAGGCAGATATCGCCACATCCAATTGGGCTTGAAAAGTGTTCCCTCCATTTCTGCGGAATGGCCGCAGCATCCTCCTCCTCGGAGCCGGGCAAGAGCCCCAGTTTCCCAACAGACTTACACTCGGAGGCAATGCCGCCCAAACCTCCCGAACGCAAACCTGCTTCAGGTGCTGAAAACAGCTCGGGAAGGCAAGATGCCCGTGGAACAGGTTAGAAACCTTCCGCCTGGGGTTTCGAGCTGGTACGGCCTCACTCAGGGTTCCTGGTCCCGCGGGG